GCCCAGTGCCATGCCACCCTGCCTTTGAGCCATCTGATTATGGACAGAAACTATAAGCTAAATAAACCTTTCCTCCCTTCATTTGGGTTTTGGGTGTTTTGTCCCAATGAGAGAGAAAAGTAACTGAGACATCCTGGATATCTGCTTTAAACTGCTTTATGGATTCCATTTCTTTCCTAAGTTGAGCTTCCATAATGTTCTTCAGCTCATCTTTTTGTCTGTGTCTGCTCTAACATCACTAAGCATGGTGTGTATTTTGGTAATCTCTGTAAGTTAGCTGAGAGATTATTTCTGATTTCATTTTTTCCAGAGTCTCTTTCAATTGTTTTGTCGTTACTACTTCAGAGAGCCCTGAATCACATACACAAAGAGGGATTTTGGATTGTCCCACCTATTGGTCCCTGAATTTGCCTTTGGTGAGCTGGATGTCAGGGGTTACATTTTGCTTGTCTTCTCATTTTCTTTTCCTTTTTAATTGTAATTCCTGGGATGATACTTGTAAGTTACTTATGGTGAGTTGCTTTATTGGTGGTATTTAGGACCCTTGGGTGATGACTACTTCTCCGAGTTATCTTCCAGGTGTAGCTGACTTTTGGGTTTTGAATATGTTGGAAGATCTTACTTCTTCAGTCTGTTGGAGATGAGAAATTGTTGCTTGTTTGGTCTATTCCTGGTTCTCTGGCACTGTGCCACAACATTTTCTGTGACCCTTAGTCAGTCTCAGTCATGTAATACCAGGACCAATAGCTGTTTACAACTATGTCAATTTTGGCTATAGTGCTACCAATAGCATCAAACAGCCTATAAAATGAGAAACAGCTAACCCTTAATTTGCAATTGTTAACCATATGAGATTTGTGATTATGTAACAAAATATAAAACAGTCCAGATAATTATATGCAGTAGGAAGCCCTTAATGTGTTAACTTTGCCCTCAGGGTTAAACTTGAAAATGGATTAAGGAGAAAATAGAGAAGTGGAAGAAGAGGAAGAGATTAGAAGGTTAGAGGACAAAAGGGAGTTCATGCCAACTTTTGAAAACTGGTAAAGAAGACTGAAGGAAGAGAGATGGAAGAGATAAAATGAGGAACAGAACAGAATCACATACACAAAGAGGTTAGGAACCACTTTCACATTCATAAAAATAATGAAGGAGAAAAAGGAAAAAAATAGAAAAATTAAAGGAGGAAAAAAAACTTAACAGTACATTTCCAGGATTCTTTCTGGTTTCACTAGTAGGCAACCTGTGGAAATGAGTCTTGAACAGTGCTGATCTATCCAGGAAAACCAGCAGTACCTATTGGTAGGGTAGTAGATAATCTCCGCAGGCCTGCCCTGAGATCAAACTCACTGAACTTGCCGCAGTCCAAGCAATTTCCATGGATCTGGGCCCAGCTAGGAGCTGCTAGATGAGGCCCAGGGCATTAGCTCAGCAGCACAAGTGCCTGCCTGGCAAGCTGGCATCAGTTCAGGGTTCCAAACTAAGCCAGCCTATCTCCAAGATGGCTCCAGGCTAATTGCCCTCTCCTATGGGAGGACTAAATCCCCTGCCCTCACTGCCAGCCAGTGAAGTCCTCCACGTCTGCTGCTCCCTTCCACTGATGCCTCTCTCTGCAGAGGCCTCAGGGATGACCAGGTGTTATATCACTGTGACCATGCATTAGCTGCTCCTCTTAGACAGTGAGTCCCATCTCAGGGAGACAGCGCTGCTGGCTACCACCTCCTTTGTTGAAGTTTTTCTTTTCACTCTCTCTGTGGACTTAATTCACATGTCAGATTCCTCATGGGTCCAGGGGACCCACTTCCCACCTTCCTGTCTTTCTCACAATGCTGTACTCCAGCATCTGCATAGTGACTCTCAGGAGTTGTTTTTCCTGCTGCTTACCGCTCTGTCTGCTGTGAACAGGACATTGTTTTTTGGTTCCAGAGAATGAACTCACTACCTCGTGCTTGCCAGGCAGGTGTTTGTGCCAGAGCTTGTGCCTTGAACTGCTTTCTGAAGTCTTTTGTACTATCTTCGGACTTTTCATTGATTCCTAGCAATCTTATGTTACTCTGCATCACCTAGCTGTTGGGTTTGTGACCCCTTGCTATTTTTAAGCTTCCATTTGATCGCTAATGCAAACCTAGATCTGATATTCTGTCTGCACATTAGTTGACTGTTTTATATACTTCCCCCTGCCCCTGCCACAGGGTTTTGCTGTGCAGTTCAGGCTGGCCATGAACTCACAGCAATTCTTCTGCCTCAGTCTTCTGAGTGATGGGATCACGGGTGTGTGCCATTATTCCCACCCTACATATACTTTTAAGTTTTCAATCTCTTGGATACCTGTTTGAATCTGTTTCATGGAATCAAGCTTTTTCTTATTTTGGGCATTCATGGTTTCCATTACTTTCCTAATGTCTTTTAAAATCTGTATGTACTCTATATTCACTAACCATGTCCTTCATTATGGTCATCTCCTCCTTGGTTATCTGTGAAATGATTAATTTTTTTCTAGAGCCTCATTTATCTGCTATGTTACTTCCACTGCTACCATTTCAGAAAGTTCAGGTGTGGGTGGCTTTTGATTTCTTCCACTTCCATGGCTTCTGGATTTGCCTTGGGGGTGAGCTGGAGGTCTGGGGCTGCATCTTGATTTCCTATTTTTAAAAATTTGTTTTCTGTGTTGATGCTTGTAAACTGCATATGATAGGTAGCTTTGTTACTAGTATTGAAATCTGTTAGAAAATGGCTTTTTAGAGATGTCTTCTAGGCGTAGCTGGTTTTTGCTTTTGAGTTTGTCCCAAGATCCTGCCTCTTCAGTTTATTAGGGATGAGAAATTGCTGCCTATTTGGCTTAGTAGCCGGTTCTTTGGTGACAGACTATGGTATCGTTTATGCCCCTCAACAATCTCAGTATTGGTATACATGAAAGAATAACTGACTACAACTGTTGTCACCTTGGCCAAAGTAGCAGAATCTATAGTAATAGCATTGAGTGCAGTCTAGAAAACACCAAACTGTGTCAACTGTTAATCTGCCACGTTTAACTAAAGGAACAAGAGTCATATAACAAAAACTAAATCAGAAAATTAGAGACAGCAAATATCCCCTTAGTAGAGTGATTTTACCCTCAGGGGAGAAAATTTAAAAGGGATGAGGTAAAAATAAAAAGATTAGAAGCAAGGCTGAAGGACAAAGGAAGATTATGCAAGCTTTTGGAAACTGGTAAAGACAAAAACAAGAAGAAAACAAACAAACCCCAAAACCAAAAAAATACAAACAATAAAAAAAAAGAGATCTGAGATTTCAAGCCTGTGGTTATCTTCTGGAGTCTACAGAATTGTGCTAGGGTCCAGTTCAGAGTGTATCTCTGCTGTCTCTGGTAGATAAAGGGAGACAGACACAGCCCAGATAAGTACTGGGCGATTCCAGAGAGCCTGGAGTAGGAATAGGGCTGGGTACTAGATAATCCCAGGAAGCCCAGAGTAGGAATAGGGTGGGATATTGACTCTGGTTCTTGTAATTCCACAACGTTCAGGCTGATCCTTGTTGTGGGGTTGGGGCCCAAACTGCTCGGCCTACAACACTCTAGTGTCTCTTGCTGGCCCGACCTCTGCTTGCTGACCCTTGATGTCTCCCACGGCTGTTCTTTACCTAGTCACTGGGAGCCCTGAGAGGGCGCCAGCCCATGGTTGCCGAGTCCCAGGTCTAGCTGGCGTCTCCCCAAAATGGCATCTGGCCAGGTTCCCTCTCTAGAGAGAACCCAAACATTTGTCACTCACCAGTGACTGTAGTTTACAGCATCCAACGCTCCATCCTACTGCTGTTTCTCTGTGAAAGCCTCTGCTGTCACCCACCTTCACTGCTTGTGAAAGGCTCTTGCCTTAGAATAAATTACTGTACAGTTATGCCGGCCGTCTAAGTGGCAGAAGGCCAAAGCAGGACCTCCTACCACTTCCGGCTTCTTCCTCAGCCTTCATTGCAACTCCCCTTCCTGTTTGCGCGCACAGAAAACTCCAATCAGCTCCTCCAGCTTCATCAATGCCCGCCCTAAGCACCACCCCCGGTCAGAGGTTATATGTAGATCCCATTCTCCACGTTCAGGCAGAGAAAGCCAGGCCACAGGCAGTCATGGAGTGCTCTCCACGTTCAAGGAGTAAAGGCTATTTTTACTTTATAGTCTTTTTTTTTTTTTTTTGTCTTTTTCTTTTTTATCAGTACCAGGAGTCGAACTCACGACTGCCTGCTTGCAAGGCAGGTGCTTATGCCGCTGAGCTAAATCCCCAGCCGCACTTTATATTCTCTTTTATCGCGCCGAAAACTCAATCTCTAGCCTCCTCTCTTACACCATATGCCAGGAGTCAGGGAAAAGTGCAGCTTGTTATCTTCTTTTCCTATGGAGCTTCCTTGTGGGCTTCAATTCTCCTCAGATCCTTTCTGGGTCCCAGGGATCCACTTCACTCCTTTTCTACATTAAATTTGTGTCTGGATTCTGAATCTGAGAGAGGCTGACCTGCTGCTGCTTACCACTCCGCCCTCTTCCCCAATTTTTGAGACATAGTCTCACAAAACTGTAGTCTTAAGATGGACTTGGACTTGTGATCCTCCTGCTTCTGCTTCCCAGAGTGCTGGATGAGGGCCACTATGCCTAAATAGCTCTCTCCCGCTTTAGGAAAGAAGTCAGCTGACCCCTGTAAAAAGTCCTTTCATTGTCAGGCAATGAAGCAAACGAGGACATGAGGGCAAAATCTTTGAAGATGAGCTTGTCTACTTGAAAGCCAGTCAAGACAAGGTTTTTTTCCCTTCCAGGGCTGTAAATTGACCTAACTGGGAACACTCGGCTACATTGCTTTATTCGGGGTTTATCAATCAATAGGACAATGTAAGATTAGGTAGACCTAGAGTCAGTATGGGAAATGGGCCACTTTTACTATAGGTGAATGATAAAACAAACAGCATCAAAAATAAAAAGAACCTTGTGATGTTACTAGTTGTGGACTAAAACAAAGGACACATTCTCACTAGAACAGAAATAAATTTTAATTCATTGAAAAGTGCAGCAGTGAACAGGGTCCTTTGAAGAGCACTTTCTAAGTGAAATGGCTGAGATGACACAGATCCAGGGTGGAATAACTTGTAACAGATGATGCATAAACATAGGACTTTACACAATTTGGTGGGAATCAAGAGGTGGAAAAACCTAAGAAACCAAATATGCGCATCTAATTCTATTGGTGGGTCAGTTGAAATAACTTTTGCTTTCTCTTAAGGATTCTAGGGCAACTCATGTTTCATTAAAAAGCTTTAATCCTTAATTTAGACACTTAGAAATTTAGCACTTTTTTTTTCTTTTTTACAGATTAAGGTAAAACTCCCATGGTTATCATTTTGTACAAAAATTCCAATGTTGTCAATTAAAATGTGTTTGCAACAGCACCGCTGGTCAAGCTTGAAGATACGTAAAATGTGTTCTTTACCATGAAACTGAATGTGAGGGACAGTTTTGTAACAGGAAATCATGTAAGGCAAAATCTCTTTTCATTCCTAAGGCTTTCTGTTCATCTGAATGACTTACAGTCCTCTTCACTGAAAAGCAACGACAGACATGGACCCAACCTTCTTAAAAGGGAAAACAATCAAAATCTAAATCAGAATTAAGAACAAAGTGAACCCCTTGGAAGTGGGTCCCTCATAAACATTCTGGAAACATCAGTGCACTTTACAGTCTGTGAAGACATAAACTGACATCTCTTCACTCCAAGACTAGGAGAAAGGTCCCAAAACTAAGAGTACAGAGAGCCCTGCCACACTCTACCACTGAAACATGTGAGCTGAATGTAAGAGCTCTGTGGCACAGACACTGCTGGCAACTGGCCTGGGTCACCCTCATGACTTCACCTGCTTTCATAAAACTGAATAACATGACATCATAGTACAAGACCTGATAAGAGATGGTTTCTTTTTATTTGGGAATAACTGTGGCCAACTTTCATTAATGTCAAAGTTGTCCAAAAATGTAAAAGTGGAGAATAAAGCCAATACCCATATTCAACATTGTAGTTTGCTTTTAGTTACACTGGAGGAGACTTTTCAAATGTTCACAGCAGAGGTGTTCTTTCCACTTGCTTTCTCAGCTCTAGATAATTACCACAGTTGCTGGGGAGACATGAGGTAAAGTGATAAACCCAATGGCTATTAAACCCACATGGCTGTCTGGAATTCTAATAGAAAAGATCCTTGTGGCCATGTCCTACAAAGTGCTTAAAGCTTGACAGAAGGCCTTCAATAAAGCTAAAATCTCATATTGCCTGAGTGAACAGGTTATAAGCCATGACTTTCTCCCCTCCTGTCTGTACCACCAATTAGCATTCTTGTGAAGCAAATGTTGGAAATGAAATTAGTTTTCAAGCCAAGAAACAAAAATGTGGGCTAAACAGAAAAATCGAACAGATCTGACTTGACACAGGATTACTAGAGTCCTCATTTTATATTTTAAGACTCCAAAAACTCTGGAAGAACCTGTCTGAAAAGGAGTAAGCTGGGGTGAAGTAGTTGATACTTTGTATCAACTAGAAGCAATTTGTGAATCTTGAATCAAGAGAATGACAGCAAAATGTAGATAGTCAAAATGACTTCACACATGGCACCGACACTGCAGGCCAGGCACTTCATAAGTGTCCAAACCTACCTGTCAACCCAAGAGCCCTATCTAGGCTCCCAGCAAACAAAAGGGCTCTTCTTTCTCCCCAATCTCCTCAGCCTGTTTCAAGGAGGAAGTCTCAAAACAAAAGATGCTTCTTTAATACTACCAGTGTTGATTGGCCCTCATGGGATTGGCGGCCACTGGAAAGTAGACATTCACTGCCTTCAGGAGCCACTTGTACAGCATCAGCCCACAACCTTAAAGCAACAAACAGAATTTGGCTAACAAGTTTTGAATTTGCTACCTTAATTTATCCCACTGTGATAGATTTTTATAAACAATGCATCTCTACTTATTTAAAAACAATGGAACTTATTCTTAATCAGATGATTCAGCTCTGATGGTTATTCCTCAAGCCAGGTGATGCTAGTATTTTTGACAGTTGAGTGCTCAGTCTGAAATGTTATGCATATCCTTTGCTTTTAGGTTAGGCTATATAACAAGTTTCCTTCTTTTTTGTCCTAAAGTACTGCCATTTCCCTGAATGGACTCACAAATTCAGACTTTGACCACACAGGGGATAATCAAGAATTGTGGCCCCAGAACAGAAATGATACAGCGGGAACAAAGACTCAGGAGAGTTCAGTACCATCTGAGGGAAAGACTGAGGAAAGTCACTCCTGACTCGTGGACAGAGTTCACAGTTTAACAAGTTGCACAAGGAAGTCAACTGATTAGGTTGCTTTTCAAACAGGACTTAAAACAGCCAGTCCAAAGCTCTTCCAGGTGTGTTCTCAAAGATGACCTACAGACACCTACTATGCTCACTTCATCAGAGAGAGGTGTGCAGGGATCCGACTGTGGGAGGCCACACACTGTCACTACAGAGGATGTTTCGAGAACCGTCGTGTCCTGATGCTGCCGTGATTGCTGAACATAAGACGAGGATCAAACCTGTATCTGGAGATGAGAAAATGAGGACGTCACATGAATTAACAAGTCACTAAGTACTTCATTAGGACATTAGTAAGAAAACTAGCAAGAAGGGATATAAAAGGAACAGATCACCAGATGGGAAGACCCTGGGAAAGTCTAGTACAAAACATGAGGACTTAAAAGAACATTTTCATGACTGTAAGCCAGCAAGCATTAAGGTTATGTAGTGTAAGCTGAGAGGAGAAAAACCTAAGGTTAATCTTGAAAGGTGGCAGAGAACAGCTAGATTTTGTTTTTTCACAGCCCCCTGCTTATACTCAGACTGGCAGAAAGGAACACAAGTGTGTACCTCAGATGTGTCTGAATCTGGCTGATGAATATAGATAGCCTCCTCTCTGGCTGCCAATAAAGTAGCATGGCATTCATGTTAAATGCATAGCACAAAATGAAAAACGCACTGATTTTACCGTTCAATGGGGAATGTAGAGTAAATGCTGAAAGGTAACTGGAGGCTGGGACTTGGCACATGTGAAGAATTACACTGGCCAGTGTGGGTGAAAAATGACACTGCAATTTACCGTCTTAAAAACAAAATTGTGGGATGTTTATTATTTTAGAGTTGTGATTGGCTGACATTTTAATAAAGGGCTAGATCATAAATATTTTAGGGAAGTACAGCTACACAGTGTCTCAACAACTCAGCTGTACTGTTGAGATGCAAAGGTGGCCATCAACAATATGTAAAGCAATGTGTGTGGCTATGTTTCAAAATTTTAACATGAATATGGTTAAATAAATTATAGCTTTCCGTCAACTTAGTACAGGAATTCCTTTTCCTATAGTGTCATGTAAGAACTGAAATAATGCTTTCCCAGTGACACTCTGATTTTTAACCTCACAATCTTCAAGTGACAGTCTTCTTACCTTACTAGCTCAAATGCATAATACACTGTCCACCAGCATCCTGCTGACAAGCTACTATGTAAGAGGTACAAGTAGAATGAACCTGGCTTGGCAGAGACAGACATCTTTGATAGCTCTATGTATGGAAGGTTTATATATGTATTAGTTTACACCTAATCTTACATACATTTAAAATATTAAACTTACTATAAATATTCAACTTTCTACAACTAGGGTGTTGAGGAAGCTGTGGGAACAGTGTTAAAGCTTCAAGAAGCCTAGGTGTCACTGAGCTGTACCATGACAAGAATCACAGCAGAAGAGAAAGTGTCTCACACAGGGAAGTAGGGCTGTGCCTGCAGCTGAAGCAGCAGACGGCCGCGAAGAGCCAAGCTTTCAAGTAGACACAGAGCACTCCCACTCCAGAGCAACTCCAAGGAAAAATGAGCCATCACGCTCCCTCCTCTTCCAGAAGATCAGAACCACTAGAGACAACCAGGTGAAGTAGAGACAAGAAGCTTACCCGGGATCAAAAACCCCTGGAGTACGACAGGTTGGTCCAGAACAGGACTGTAGCATCATTAACCGGTAGTTCATCTTTCCCAAAAGCTCTGGGTCTATAGTTTTAGCAATGTTAGTGATTTGGTCTGGGTCTGCAGTCAGATTATAGACTTCTACAAACACCTAGAGAATGGAAGAAAGAAAAAAGGCCAGGTTATTTTTGAACAGATACTCATAATGTGAGTTATTCTGAAATGCAAAGGGAGGAGGGAGATAAACCAAAGTCCAGTGGACTATGGTCTCATCTTCAGGTCCTCAGGGAGGCCAACTCTACTTGAGACATAGTGCATCTGTGCCTGGTGCACTATGGGTCGATGGCCCCAAGCTGGGAGGGGCCACCTGCACACCCTGTTCTTTCAGGCAGTTGGGAAAGCACGGGGAGGACACTACCCTCTTGTAGTTGCAGCACAGGACACAGATAGGAACTTGCTGGCATGGCCTCAGAAACAGGACTTAGTCATAAACAGTGAGAGTTAACATTTGAAGGCATGGCTTTTTAAAAAGTGAAGTCCAATGACAATCTAGAAGTCACAGGCAAATGGTGCCTACTATGGCGTCATGTAGCTGCCCTCAGGTCACCACATCTAGCTATCAGACTGACAAACATTATAGAAAAGGGAGGAACAAAAGCCGAGTTGGAGGGAAACTCTTGCTCGTGGCCCAACATGTTCCTGAGCTGCATGAGAAATGCAGGCAAACACCTCCCCTTATGGTTAGATGGGGAGTAGGACCAGGCGGGTGAGCACATGCTGCTGATATGAGATCACCAGGGACTGGAGCTATGAGCTCCTTCAGATAACCTACACTAGTCTCTGTTGGCCAAAAAGCCACTTTCTCCCAAGGATGAAGTTCTGGGGCCTTTGCCCTTGCCCAAAGAGAGAAGCACAGGACTGTAGTGAGGGGAACAGGAGTTTCTGAATAAGTCAGCTGCTGGTCAGCTTTCGAGGAAATACTCCAGTTCCTCTCACCTCCATTAAAGTTGCGGTGCTTTACTTTTACCCAGCTATCAAGGAACTGGATGGTGGTGTGAGCAGAAACCTCATTCAGAAGCATCATGCTTAGGGAAATAACCATGGCCTTAAGGAACTCTCTTAACTGAGGAGACCTAAGCTGGGGTGTAGAGAGGGACACCTCATCTTCCCTAGGGAGCACCCTGGGAACTGCACTTGTGTGGTAAACCCACCCAGTAAGGCAGGACAACAACAAGGGGATGGGACACGTCCCTCTTACCTCCTGGTCATCAAACTCGCAGTACTGTAAGTTCCACAGTGCTGACATTGTCCTCACACAAGCATAGGTGTTGTTGTATGCATCTTCACAAATACAGTCTGGGAAACATTGCTGTAGACACATTTATAAAGTTAAATGAGGACCCTTCTTCCAGGGAAACAAAAACCTAGCTGCTTACAGGGGCAAGTGAGTTGGCTGAAGCCAGATGTACAATGGGACAGAGATGAGGAAAGCTTCCAGAGACCCACTGAGTCAAAAAAGGAAGGGAGGTGCTTTTCTTTACTGATGGTTTACTGGATGAGGAAAATATGTGACTCTGCCATTCAAAGGTTGTTGTCACCCTGTCTGCTAATCTCCTGCCAAGAATTAGTTGTAATGAGCAAATGAGTCACTTCAAGGACTATTAGGAACTATCCAAAAAGATTAAAAAAAAAAAAGCTAAAATGAGCTCTGTGGATTCATCTGCAGATAAATAAATGACTTATTTAAAATTAAGTTTTACTTAAGAAATTTTACATGTGATTTAATATTCATCAGGATCATTTTAATGTGGTTGTCTTCAAGATACCTCTTGTTAAAGGAATTGATGCTTAATCCAGTCATTTCATCTGCCTTGCCACAAATCTTTTACCTCTACTTGATTTATGGACAATGACAACTTCAAAACTCTTAGGGTCTTATTACCCAAATTTCTTCTGGCAATTTATATTTTAGGAGTCCAGAATTCAAACCATACATAGTATTGGTATTTTGTCACATGAGCTACACTCATTCATTTACAAACATTCATTTATAATAGTAAGCATCAGTATTTTTCCGTTTTTTTTTTTTTTTTTTGTACCAGGGATTGAACTCACAACCTCGCACTTGCCAGGCAGGCGCTTATGCCACTGAGCTAAATCCCCAGCCAGTATTTTTCATTATTAGCCAAAATGTCTCACTGTCACCAATGTAAACATTTATTGTGATGGAAGCATTCCCTGTATCTCAATTTCAGCCACACCGACCAATTTTGGACACCAATCAACAATGCCCACTCTAATCTAGAATGAGGCTTTAAGTCATTCATTTTTTTGAGACAAGCTTTCATCATGTAGCCCAATCTGGTTTTGAACTCATGATCTGCTCTCAGCCTCCCACATGCTGGGATTATAGCCACACACCAGTCATGTAAGTTACTTAAGAGTGTTGTTACCACATATGACCTAACTGCAGCTCATTTCATCCTATCTTCCACAGGCTCTGTTATTCCACTGTGGGTTAGTCCTTTACTGCGTCACCACTTCTGGTATCAGAAGAGTCAAATTCAAATGAAACTCTACTTCTTATTCTCCAAAGAGTGGCCAGCCTGGCTGGTACCACCTTCATGACCTGCCTGGCCTGCCATCAATGCAAGACACTCATGATGGCCATCACTATGGGAATCCTGTCTATCAGGTGCCTGTGATACCATCCCTAACAGGAAATGGTACTGCTGCTGGGAGGAGTAGGAAAGAGGAAGAGAACTGCTAAGAATCTGGGCAGATTCATGAATCTGTTACATAACTAAAAGACATCAAAGTATGCATTCTGATGACAGGCCAGCAGCAGCATTCTCAGATTACTGAATTACCTTTGTCAATCTAAACCCCCACAGTCAGATGACAAAACAGCGATACTCAAGTGTTTCAACACTTGCCCTAGCTGAACTGTAGTGAGAAAGCTGTCTAAGTCAGTGCAAGCTACTACTCACAGATACTCCAGGACTCAGAGATGGACAGGTTGGGTCAGTGACATTGCGGCCTTCTCCTTGATATTCCACCAAGATATCAGATCGCCAAGTCAAATTACTGCCACCTCTCTAGGGAAAAAAAGCAAAGGCATATGGTTATGATAAGGATAATACCATTCTTAGTCTACTGGGAAAGGGAGCTTGAAAATCAGCCAGAATGTTCATCTAGTATCTAAAGGAAATGGTTAAACTGAATGCATATGAAACCTATGGAGCATTGTGTTTGGTATTATAGAGCCTTAAAAGTGAGGGTCAAATGCTACAAACACTTAGTAGTTCCTTCTGAAGACGACTTCTGTGAAACAGGTTTGGAATGGAAACCAACAATATAGTAAATCAAGAATCAAAGTCACAGGACAAGTTGCTCAGTTCAGATTAAATACCACTTACAGGGTATAGTGGAAAAAACCAGAACAGCGAATCTTTAAATTCCCCTTGAAATACTCCTCCTAGCACTGAACACTTATCCTTCTTGCCACTTTTTGAAGCAGTGCTGGAAGTTCCCTTTCATATTATCAGTTGCACTGCTGTGGCTGCCTCAATGGCCTGAACTGATTCAAAACATTTACCTTTCGTGGTCACTTTGTCTTTGGGGGAAGAGCCAGAAGTTGCATGATGCCAGATCCAGTGAATAAGGTGGATGAACACACAGTGTAATGTTTTATGAGCCTGCCTTTCCACTGCATGGCACTTGGCAGCAGCATTCACAGTTTTTTTGTTTTTTTGAGACAGAGTCTTGGTGTGTAGGTTCAGGCTGGCCTCAAACTTGCAGCAGTCCTCCACGCCCCTCAGTTTCACAGTACTATTAATCATACCATGTAAAGACCTTACAAAAGAGGACTTCCAGAACTGTTTCAGAAAGTGGCGAGAATGATGGGATAAGTATGTCTGAAGTGAGGAGGGGAACTCTGAGGGGGTTAATCACAGCATGTCTTACTGTAATGAAGTTTTTTTTTTCTGTTTTGAGACAGGCTCCCGCTACATCGTTCACTACATGAACTATACAGTTCACTATGAACGCAATATGTAGCCCAGGCTGGCCTTGGACTCATTACAATCCTCTTGCTTCAGCCTCCTGAGTGCTAAGATTACACCCATCATTACTGTAGTGAATTTTTAAAATGTATATGCTTACTGTGTATATTGATCACATTACATTACATAAGAACTGTCCGAAGCCTACACCAAAGAATGTGTTACCTAATACACACTAGGGTAAGACCGAGGCAAAATTTAAACAGGGCTGGTATGCTAACGATGTAAAAGGTTCAGGGTAGGGGCTGGGGATTTAGCTCAGTGGCTTAAGTGTCTGCCTGGCAAGCTCGAGGTCATGAGTTCGATCCCCAGCACCAATAAATAAATAAATAAAAATAAAAAATAAAAGGTTCAGGGAGCCACAGAATGAAAGTACAATCCACAAATTAACTCCTCCATGCCACTGAACACTAGGGGTGTGAAAGGAAAGAAATGGCAGCGTTTGAAATGTGACAGTTTAAGACAGGCATGGAAATGGGGAAGGTGGGAAGAGCGCAGAGCAAGTTTGGAATGAAAAGTATGTGCATACAGGATGGAAGCAGAACACTTGGCTGTGTGATTTCATGAAACCAACTTTCAGACAGGGAGGAATGTAGCATAGGGAGGTGGGCTGGGATGCGTACAGGAAGAGGCCATGAACGTCACACTGCATGTCTGTTCTTTAAAGAACATAAGGTAGTTGGCACGGTACCATGCATGTAGTCTGAGATGCTCAGTAGGCTGAGGCAGGCAGATCACCTGAGTTCAATATCAACCTGGACAATATAGTGAGATTCACCTCCTAAAGTAAATAAAATAATGTTAGGGGATAGAAGAATGGAAGGCTTTTGAGTGGGGAAGTAACATAATTAAGGTAGTACTTTAGAGTCTTGCATGGTGGCATATGCTTGTAATCCTGGCGCTCTGGAGACTGAGGCAGGATTGCTGAGAGTTCAAGGCTACAGTGAGACCTTGTCTCAAAAAAAGAAAGGAAGGAAGAAAGAAACAAGCAAACAAAAAAGGCAGGCCGGCCTGCCAGCTGTACTTTAGAACAAACAAGCCAGGAGAATAATCTAGAGATGAAATGGAGATGGAGATGGAGATGGAGACCAGCCTAGTGAGGTGACTCTTTCAATGACATGAACAGCCTGCTGAGGCACACGTGGCATAGGCTCGTCTAAGGCTTTTCGGTTCAAAGGCCGAGTGGGAGCCTGTTTGAAATGCATTGTCTCAGCCCCACACTAGCTCTGAGGAGCCAAGGTCTGCATTTTACTAAGCTCCTCAGGGGCCTTCCATGCACAGTGAAATCTGAGCCACGGTGCTGCCAAATGTGGTTTTGGGACCCGTGGCATCAGCAGCCGTTCACAGCCCTTACTGCAGTTGGGACAGCCCGAGTTAACGAGCCCCACAGGCACTGCTGCAAATGCCACTACTGAGAGAATGCCTTTCTGAGGATGCCAAATGAGGATGGACACAGCCTGAAATGGGAACTACTTTGTGCAAGGCCATCAATACCAAGAAAAAGTAGTCACAGAAAGAACTGTTTCCTAACTCCCTCTCCAACACTGTAACCTAAAAAATGCTGTGCAGCTTCAGGGCCCAGGAATTACGAGTAAGCAAGGACTGCAGAAGTGCCATCTTCTTTTCCATGAGTCCTCACCATGCCAGTCTTGAGCCTTAGAAGCCAGGTGTCAGTGGAAAGCTTATGTGATATAGGTGACCTCACCTCAAAGCCCACACTTGAGGGTTAACTGTCAAGAGGAGAAAAGGCACCTGGAAGACTAGATCACCAAGTCTTGAAAATGCTATACATTAAAATCACCAAGGGAGCTTAAATACCCAATATCCATCTAATTCAGAATCAGGAGGCAGAACCCAGCATTAGTATCTCAGTTTTCTAGGTGATTCTAATGACCCAGTTTGAGATTCTTGGTCCATGGGGTTTTAACTTTTTTCTGTAAAAGGTCAGAAAGTAAATATTTAGGATCTGTGCCTGTACAATCTGTTAGGTCTATTCTGCAGCTACAGGCTAAATAAACAGCTGAGTGTGGCTGGGTTCTTTACCCTCAAAAACGGAGCAAGCTAGATTTGGCCCATAGGCTGCAATTCTAGTCCAGTAGAATTTTCTGACCCAAAGTTTGGTATCTGTGCTGTTGGAATGCATGGAGCACATATGTGGCTAGTGTAATAAAGGGAGTTGTCCATTTTATTTTAGTTACTTTAAATAGCTACAAATGGTTTTTCAAGTATTTCACTTGAATAACCTCAAAAACAAAACATGAACAAAGACAATTGCTAATTCTAAGTGGCACTTACACAACTGTGCAGAGAAATTAACAGAATGATTTTTATTATAGAATAAATCTAGTTTTTTCCAATTAGAAATTGGATAATACCTGTCCAACATTTTTCAGGTAACCTGAAAAGCGGATTAGAAGTTTACTTACACAGGTGGCTAGGGTCCTGTTAAAAATAAGCAGAAAGAAGCACCTACACGAATAATTATACAGCTCTAAAAAACAAAAGGATACTGGTACCAGGATAGAGCTATACAACAGAAACAATTACCTATGGAGGAAAAACAACAGAATTTGAACTATGACTCAAACCATGTAAGAAAATCAGTTCTGGATATATCAAAGCCTGGAATGTTTGACAGGCCGAATCTCAACATATTTTGGGAAAAAAATCTAAGAGTAACTTAAAAAAAACCAGAACATCACATAAGTTTATTTCAGATGCAACTGTAATGTTAAACTTAAAAAATTTAATTTTTAACTGCACCAAGTAAATGTAATCACCTAAATATCTTTTTTTTTTTTTTGTCTTTTTCACTTTTATCGGTACCAGGGATCGAACTCACGACCACCTGATTGCCAGGCAGGTGCTTATGCCGCTGAGCTAAACCCCCAGCCCCTCACCTAAATATCTTTAAAAGTTGTTGCCTCCAAAAACTGAGGGAGCTTTTCTTTTCTACTACCACAAACCATGGTTTCCTGATAGTTCTCTTTCTGAAGGACTTTTCAACTGATGAGAAAACTGCTTTGGAGATATTTTAGAACTCTTACCCACAAATGACAACTAATTTGGACAAATTGTATATTGTACAGATCTACAGATTGTTTTACAGATCTATATACAACTTATCACATGGTAAAATTTTAATCTATTTTCCCCACAGTGAAAACCATCTCCCTTGGAAAGTATGATGGATATACCCTATGGTCTTTTTTTTTTTTTTGTCTTTTTTCGTTTTTATCGGTACCAGGGATCGAACTCACGACTGCCTGCTTGCAAGGCAGGCGCTTATGCTGCTGAGCTAAATCCCCAGCCCCTACCCTATGGTCTTGTAGTTAACAGAATTACTGATTCATCTCAAGACTATTTTTACCATTTGTCAAAATAACCAACTAAACAATGGACATCAGTCTTCATTGGCTCAAAGACATATGAACCAATGCTCAGTATCTACACCTTCTGTAACTGGGTGGAATTATTTAACACCAGCTGGATGGAGGACAAACCTTTACAAAAACTAAGAATACAGATTAAGTCATTTAGTAGTGTGGAAAAAAGAAACTCTAAAAACAACAAGAAGTCTACTCATTTCAAACTTGAATATTTTTCTTCTGTCTTTAAATAACATGTACTTAATTGGGAGGTAGCTATTTGGTTTTTAATAACTATATTTAGGATACATTCACAGGGCCGCTTGGATGGCCCAGGTGAAATAGTTATAGAAATAGAAGCCATGTGGTCTCAGAAAATTCATTTATATATCAAAATCTATTTTGATATCTGGAAGTTTACAAAAAGGCTGAATTCTTCATGGTAATTACACTTTCTGTAACTGAAGCACTCTTTGCTTGGCAAGAGCAAGCTGAAATTTATCCCTGAAGGTAGGTAAAGGTGCCTAATGTTCAGTATTTCTTCTAAACTTGGATTCAGATTAAGCAACTGATAACAAAGACCAACCAGCATGGTCTCTACATTTTCACTAACAGTAGAACCCTACAGACTCATTCATCAACCATGTTTCTTTACAAAACTTTTCT